TAAGGATAGGATAATTTGTTTTATATTGTGACTTTAAGAAATGTATTAAGAACTACTACACTAAAGTCTTATTGCATACAGTTAATGCAGACGATGTCGTTAATCTCAGCACAAGAAAATTCCCATGGAGAGCCAGTTAATACAGTGAGTAAGAGAACTGGCTCTGGAGCTGGGCTTCCTGGGTTCAAAATCTAACTGTGCTGTTCACTTACTGTGCGATTCCCAGCATGTTGTTAAACCTCTCTCTTTATATTGCTGCTTCCATCTGTAAAAACGGGATTTAAAAAATAATGATATGCCCATCACGTAACATTGTTGTGAAGAGCAGATTTTATTAAATGCCTAGAAATGTTAAGTGTGGAGGCACCTGCCATTTTTGCATTGGTTTATTAAGCTATTTAACTTCTGTTACTTTTATACTTTACAGTTGTTTATTTTCAGGCTAGTAACGACAAAATTTTATAAACTTCTTCTTTTGCCATAGTAAAAACATTTCCTTCTATGCATTTTGTTGTTTACTTAATTCATTAAATTCCTGGCACCGTCTCTAAAGGAGATGGTTAACTTCCCTAGTCAGATGAAACCCTTAGTCATTTGGCAAATTTAGAATTTCAGGACCTAGTGAGACAGCATCAGTTGTGCCGTCTGCTCTCTGCCAGACATAAAGAAATCATAGGAGGGATGATACATACTTGCTGCCTCTAAGTCAGCCAACATTTATTAAGTGTCTACTGTATGCCATGGATTGGGAATCAGAAGTGAGAAAGACACAGTCTCTGCCCTCAAGGAGTTCACAGTAGATTTCTAACGATTACATGAAGGAAAACAAATACCCCATTTGAAATAGACACAGATAATGTGTGTGTTGGGGGCAGCAGCAGCTAGGATGGGCTGGGCATGGCAAGATTTTCTAGGAAAGACGCCTGAAGTATATTGAAGCATTGAGGAGTAAGTGGGAGGGCCAAGATGAGAAGCAGAGTTGCAGAAAGAGGCAGCAGTAACTACAAAGGCATACAGTAGAAGAAAATGAACATTTTGGCAAGGCATAGAAAATACTATGTAGGAGGAAAAACGGATGGGGTTCCAAGAGATGAGCTGAGAGAAAGAAGCAGAGCACAGTCTCAGTTTTATCTTGAAGTAGTGGGGAGGCGGTAGCAGAGTTGCCCTTTAAAACCTTACTGTGAAAGTGTGGAAGGTGGACCAGGAAGGGTGTGTGAATAGTTAGACAGAAGCCTGTCACTATAACTCTATAGGCAAGAGGAACTGGGTCACTACCAAGATAATGAGAATGGTAGAGAGCAGAGAGAGGGCTGTATAGGAGGTGACCTTTAGCCATCTGGGGTAAAAATAAGGGAGGAACCTAGACTGGACTCTCGACTTGTGGATTGAAGACCTGGGCAGATAGTGGGATTAGTCGCTGAGCAGAAGACCCCAAAGGAAAAGCAGGTATAGAGGGAAAAGCAACAGGGTCAGGTTCAGACATCCTGATTTCAAGATGACTCTGGGCCGCTCGCCAGGACTTGGTAGTAAGAAAACACAAGGATCTGGAGCTCAGTGGCACGATCTGGCTAAAGAGAAAAATGTGGCCACTGAAGCCATGAGCGGAGTAACACTGTCCCAGGGCGAGCCTGCAGAGTGCATCTGACGAGATGGGCAAGAACAGAACCCTGGAACTGCAGCATCAGCAAAAGGACCCCAGAGAGAGAAGAAAGAAAGAAAGCCGGAGACCCAAGTCAAGAGGAGAAAATTCAAGGTTTAGGGAATGGTCAGCAGAGTTAAATGGTGTCCTCGGGGAATTTATAATTCAGCTGGAAGTCACTGCACCTACAGGTGAAGAAAGGAGTTGGAAGAGTTGCTCATGACTGCCCTTCATTCAGCATGCGTGATGGATATAGGCAGGTCCCTGCTGCAGACCCTGTCCAGCAGAGTCCGACTTTTGTGGCTTATGACGAAAATCAGTGCACAGGCGACAACAGTCCTGTGTGGAAAAAGGGAACAGGAATGACTACTCTCTCAAGGGAAAAGTGCCTATGGTGCCTCGGCCACTCCCTCAAGAGGGGAGCACCCCAACCCTTGACTAGACAGGCTTTTATTGTTTTCCTGGGGTCTTACATCATAGAAGGATTTATTGTCTATCACACAGACAATATATCACACAGACAGAACATTATTGTCTACATTCTAGGTACAATCAAGGAAATAAAAATAGCATGCAGAGGGGGATGGCAATAAGCTCATTAGCTGTGTCCTTGGGGGAGCTCACACAGGCTTTGGAAGTTACCTTGAGGATAAACAATATACATTTGTTGCTTTAGACCAGGGTGAGGGAGTTTTAGCAAGAGCAAGCCATAACAGTCTATATGCATTTTCTAGGCCTGATTCCCACGGGAAAACTCGGTTTGAAGGCCTGGCTCCTGCCCACCACTTCGCATCTGTAGGTTTTCCATACAGAGCTGAGTCACATTTGCCAGGCCAAAGACAAACCGGTCCCCTACAGTTCCCCTGGAGCTGAGGGTAAGAATGGAATTGTCCTTAAGCTTGATAAAGGTGATAGACATTCACTGGGCCTGAAATATGGATAGAATTGAAACCAGCAGAGGTCATTTCAGCTGAGGCAACCAGATTCGTTCAAATCCATCGTCATGCCTGAAAATAACTAAAGGTGGATTTTCTGTTGGTAGTGGTCAGCAGTGTCATCTTTAAACAGTGCAGACAGCATTTGGCTCCCTCTTTTAGTTATAATAATACTTGGTTCTTTTTTTAGTTACAATGACTATTGGTTAAATCATATCCTGTAAAACAGGGTGCAGTGTTACCTGACATCATGTATAGAATTAACTCTATGGGAGCCATGACAAGAAAGCTGTATGGTTTACACATAGCAAGATCATTTCAGAAACACAGGTGTGTCTGAACTTTGAAAATATCATGAGGCTCAATTCCAATGGGAAAAGACAAGACCTGGTTATATACCCTCTTAATTTTATGAAAGCTGATTCTAAAATCCCTTTGCTTTAATGCAGTTATTTCTAGCTGTGCAAATTCTTGGCTACCCCTGGCCTCTGCTATCTAAGCTGTGGGTATGTGGAAGGAAGCAGGAATGGGAGGAGATTTTCTTGTGCCCTCCTTCACTCCTCTTCACCTTCCAGTCCCTTCTCTATCTTCCCATTCCACCCCATTGCCCTCTTCTTTCTTGGGAATTTGACTTGCAATGCATCACGGACCATAACTCTTCATTTACTAAGAGGAATGCCTTAAGGGCAGAAACAGTCAGGCATTACCTTGGGAAATAACCTGTCAAAACCTATCTGTGCTTGTCTGCTCACAATTCTGGCATCGTGATTGCTCCCCAGGACTAACACCATATCTGCAAAGAGGAAGGTAAAAAATAAGGAAAAGCAATGGAAAACCAGGTTGCCAGTGCTGGCCATGTCCCATCCCTGGGGACATGATCTTGTGAAAGCCACTTAACCTCAGCTAGTCTCAGCCTTCTTAGTAGAATTTTTGTGACAGTCAACTGAGATAATATTTGTGAAGGAGATTTATGACTGCAAAATGCTATTGAAATGTTAGGCAGTGATGAGAGCATCACAGTATGAGTACAATGTAAATGCAGGAAGGGACCAAGATTTCTCCTCCTAAAATCTATTCTGAGAAGCTAGACCTCCCATCCCAACTCTTGCATTCGACTGGGTCTCTCCAGAGCCTCATCTCATCTCATCCCTGTTAATCTGGGCCAATTTATCTTGGTTCATTGTAGTGCTTGATGCAACTGAGAAATACTGAGTTAACCCCATTCTCCTTTTTTTAGTGCGTAGCAGAAGCCCTTGAAACCCACCCCCAAAAAAGAGAAATGGTAAACAATTTATGGAGTGCTTCCTCTGGGCCAGGCACTTTCTTTGTCTGAGATCCTTTTCTGCAAACCGCAGACTGTTCCCACAGAGGAGAAGTTACTAAGCCTTTGCAGATGAGACCAGAGGAAATTACATTTCTATTAAAAGCTGTCTGTGGCTGGATGTATCCATCCTAGGTACAAAATTAAATGATGTAATAAACTTACTCAAAGACATAAAGCTATTACATTAAATGCCCTTAAATATCTTCCACTCAATGTTAACATAATACAGCTGTAAATTTTCTTCGGTTGTCATTTGGCACAATGCTTGTTCCCAGTGGGTTATGCGTCTGCCGGTTTTGTTTCCCAGTCCTGGACAGTGGGATGTCAGGGGCGCCTGACCCTTTGAAACATGATGGCTTCCAACTTCCATGTTTTCATCACTCATGAATCTGGGAGTGCTAAGTTTCTTCTCCAGCTGGTTCACCGTTTTCCTCCTGTTCGCTAAATGTGGCACTGAGGCTCCATATTTCAAATACTAGAGATTAGAGGCCAGGAGACCCAACCAACCAAGACACAGCTCAGGATTCAAGGTTGGGCGGTGCACATCTACTCCAGACTTTGAGGATGATTCAGAGCTTCTTAGGTGGAGTCATACGTCTAGGGATGAAGGGGTAAATGGAAGGAAAGAGCTGAGTGGAATATAGAGCATTATAACTAGAAAAGTTGTGTACCCCTATTTTCCTGGGGTTTAAGTGAACAACCCCAGGAAAATGGGCACAGAGCCAAGGCAGGTGAGATCCAGATATGTCTATTAAACTCGCCTAGTTATCTGAACTGGTCAGGATTTCCACTTGCAAGCCAAGTGCTACATCCAGGTGGACCCCATCCTTTGAGCCTCCCCAAACAGAATGGCAGCAGAGTGGAAATGAGTGGTCTGTTGATGATGGGGATGTGAGAGAAGCTTTGCCTTTGCCCAGGTTCTGCAGTCAACAGGCGTTTTTCCTGCAAGTGAGCCGGTCAGAAGTGTTGACTTGTTTCCTAGACCCGGAGGCCTTTCTATAGTGTGACTCGCCTTGCTCTCACAAGATGCTCACCCCTGGCAGGGGTCTGTCACTCCAGGTCATCCAAGCCAGCTTCTGATGCTCTTGCTGTCTTTCTTCAGGAAACAGCATCCTCCATTCAGCAGCTGACAGCGTGACCAGTGCTGTACAGAAAGCAAGCCAGGCCTTGAATGAGCGCGGGGAGCGGTTAGGCCGAGCAGAGGAGAAGACAGAGGACATGAAGAACAGCGCCCAGCAGTTTGCAGAGACTGCACACAAGGTGGGTCCTGCGGGTGGCGGGGGGCTTTGGTGTCAGGAAGCTATTTCAGGGTGTCTCCCGTGATGGCAGATCCAGAGGCAGGCCTTCCTCCCTGTCCAGTTTCCATCTGCTACGGATTAAGTACCCAAATCTCAAAGGATTCCTTTCTGTCCCTGTTTTCTTGGATATCTCCCTTCTAATGTCTTCATTCCTATCTCTGACCTTGGACCTTGGAGAAATGTGGACCACCTTTCATTCCTGCCCAGAAGTTGAGGACTCAAGTCTCAGGGAATGGTATCAGTGAGGGAGGAAGAGGTCAAATATCCCTCCTCCCTCGGCCAGTATTTAAAAGAGGACTTGGGGCTGCTGGTGCTTACTTTTCCTTGCTGTCTCTTTCTGGTCGTGAGCATCGGTGTTCTTATCTTTTCATCGCGTGAAAATCAAGCTCCTGTCCCAGGGCACGGTGCCCCTCAGGGCTGGTCTCCTTCTGCCAGGCACGTGGGCCTCTAAGGCTGACCCCCAAATTCCCTCCCGCCTCTGAGTCCAGGAAAAAAGCATTGCCCACATGACTGGAACGGTGGATGCACACACCCACATGCACACACTGCTCAGAGTGCGCCTTCCAGAGGGGGCGAGGGAGTTTTTATTGGCAGCCAGCTATCTAAGGCAGTCACAAACCAAAGGACAGAGAGTCCCTGTTGGTCAGGTGATAAAGAGGATTTACTGTTGTTCCTGTGTTTCAGATCAAAGGGCACTTCTTCTCTGGCTAGTCATTCGAATTTAGGTTTCCAGAAACAGCTTCCGCTGATAAGTGCTAGCACCTCAGACTCATGATCTGGCCCTACAGATATGCCTTTCAGGTGACCTTTGGGGGAAAATTTTTGCTTCAACAGAAAACCCCGCTTTTGCTGAGGAAACAAGATTGGACAACCTGGAAAATAACAAGAAAAATCTCTGCAGCTGAGCTCAGGCTTGGGGCGCAGGCTTCGGCCAGACTGCAGATCGATTCCAAGTGGATGCTTCCTGCCTTCCCTTCCCGCGTGCCCTTCACACAGATCTGTCTCGTTGTGGCATCAGTTCTCTGTCGTGACAGGGTCTTTCTGCACCGCTGCCTTGGGAGCCCTTTGGCGTTCCCTGGAGGAGAGTTGGCTGGATCTGTTTGAAAAGGCAGGCCATCCTGCTGGAAGCCAGAGCCTTGACTTACCATAGCTGTCAGAGGGAGCGAGCTCAGATTTACAGTTCTCTTGTCCCTTGGTCCCTTCTCCAGCCTTCCTAGTACAGAAATAATGATGGGATGGACGTGCTAGGATCCTAGCCCCTGCTTCATTTATAACAACAGCAACTTTAGTCATTTAAATGGGAAGTGGACAGAGGAAGTGTGGGGAAGCATTTGAAGTGTTGATTTGGGGAAGAGAAGGCTCAAGGGAATAACTGGTGGTTGTCTTCAAGTCTGGGGAGGGTGATGATACAGGTCTTTTAGAGCTGACCACACAGAACAGAGCAATCAGTAGTGTGCAGATAAAAATCTGCTAAAACAAGAGCTTTGGTTGATGATTAAACCATGAACCAAGTTACCAAGGATGTCTGTGAAATCGCTCTTTCTAAGGTAAAGTAGACAATACCTGGAGGTCATCCATGTGGGAGTCCCCCTCAGGGGAACTTACACAAACACTGGACTGGACAGCCTAACCAGATGGCCAGAATTCTTGGCCCTGGCCACCCTGTTTCCCTGCTTCTGTGGCCAAGTTTGCTAAGCAGTTGGGAAGGCAGCATCCTACAGTTAACATCTTGTTTGATTTAACATCTCAGTGATTTACTCATCAGTGACCTTGGACAAGTGCTTAATTTCTCTAAACTCCAGTTTCCTCATCAGTAAAATATGGTTAATTGATACTAATACCTATCTTCCAGGGTATTGAGAGAATTGAATGAATTCAAACCTATAAATCTATTAGCACAATACCTGGCACATGTAAATTTAAACTGATGTGAGTTATGGTTATATCCATAAGAATTGTTTCTACTGAACCTACCCTATTTGGTCACATATTGAGCACAGTGTGCAGGGTGGGGCCATGGAGGGAGGGGATGAGTTAGAAATGGGCTTGAGGATCCTAACACAGGGATGCAAGGGCTGGAGGGGAAGGCGTTGTGCCAAAGGCAAGGGGAAGGCCCCCAGGTAAATGCTGATACTTTCTAAACACAGAGCAGCCCTTGAAACAGGATCCATCAGAACAGAAACAGATTTACCCCTCCAGCAAAAGGACTTCAGATTGACCGCTAGGAACATCCTTGGAGCCAGTGACCTCCCCTCCTATGGATGTCCCGGGGAGGGGGGAGGGGTTGCTAGTGTCGTTGAGGGAGTGTGAGGGAGACACTGTCAGAGCCGTTTGTTAAAGAGTGGAATGTGTACACGTGAATCACCAGCATTGACAGTATTCCTAACAGGGAGATTGATCTTTTTGGATAAGGTGTGGCTATTTTCCCAGAGTCCAGGACTTGCCAATTTGAACCCACTGGTGCAGGCCATGAAGATGTCATTTCACAGGCTACTGGTAAGAGAGGGTTCATAGATGGAGGCCAGACTCTCCAACCCCCCAGACAGAGGTGGCTGTGTTGACTCATAAAAAGTGGACTGCACTTACAAGTAGAGACTCAGTGCACATCTGAGAGCCCTGAGCAGAGAATGGCAGTTCCAGGTGACAGTTCTTTGTGTTCCTTGGCTGAACAAGGACATGCAACTCTAGCAGAAGCATGTGACCCACCTTTCTAAATTGTAGTGGAAAAGGATCTCCTGCTTTCCAGTTTTTCCCAGTTCTCCTGCAATGACCCACGTGTGTCAGAGAGTATATTTGCACAGCACTGCCATCAAAATATGTGTGTGTGTGCTTGTCTTCTGTAGAGCTTGTCTCCTGCAGCCGCTCTCCCCGGCTTGGTTCAGCCTGGCTTGAGGAAGCGTGGTTCCTTCCTGAGCTGTGGGCTTGGCACAGCCTCAGCCCTTAGGAAAGTGCGCTCAGCCACAGAGCAGCCCTGCTCACTTTCCCCTGCCCCCAAAACACAGCGCAGCGGGGCGGGCAGCACTCTGAGGCCTGCCACGGGCCGTGAGTCAGCAGGCAAGAGCGGGACCCACACCTAGCATCCTCAGATGACATTTCTCAGCGACAGGAATAGTGATTTGCCCTGTTTCGCACAAGCCCACGTTTGTCAGGGAGAGAGTGGTAAGTGGCACCTCACTGGCAGGGACTGGCCGCCTCTCTCCTTACTCTGTGCTTCCTTTGGGTCTCTGAGCCAGAAGGGACCTCAGGGATCCAGGCCTCTTAAAGAGTATCCATCCCAGTATGAGTACTAATATTATTATTACTATTATTATTATTAGAAAGCTTTCAATGCCATATTAATAAAACAAAATATGTGAAAAGGAAAATTTAAACTCCTCCTTAATAGGAACTCTGATTTCTAAATTGACCCATAGCATTTGAGTTGGAGATGATATTTATAGACATGAGGTACAGAGCAGTTGTGACTTTAGAGCTCAAGGTCACATAACAGACTTGTAGCAGGGAAGTGACAGTACCCTGCCTTCCATATTCTGAGCTCCTAGCTTCCAAGGAATTAAAATCCTAGGTAGCATGGAGATGATGCCACTTTCTGACTTTCTACCAAAAAAGTACCTCGAATAGCAGAAAGCCCAATCCAGTTGTATGTCTGCAGAGCTGGGCTGGTCACACCCCACCTGGCTGGGACTCCCTTCTGTGGGTCCAGACTCACTGGAGCGGTAACCAGGGCCTGGCGTGAGCAGCAGCACCATCGCTGCTGAAGATTAATGGCTGGGTGAACTGGCACAAGCCCACTAGTTGAAGGTTAACAGCTGAGTGAGTAACAGGACAGCAGCACTGATCAAATATTTATGAATGTTACTCATTATGCACAACACTTAACAGCTCTGTGTTTATTTGAATGTTCCACGTTGCTAAATAACATATAAAAACTAGAAGACAGAGCAAGAAGTGGGGCCATTCAGCAGAGGGGCTCGGAGTATGGCCGGGGACTGAGATGGCCCTGAGGGAGAGCCCTGTCTCCGCCACTCTCATCCTACCTTGTTTCCCATAAACTGTTTGAGGTCAGGGGTTATCGGCCACCCCCAACCTTCGTGGCAAAAACCCACAGCACTGAGTGCACAGCCTGGGCACGCTCAGGACTTCACACTGTCTGGTGATAGACTGCCTCTAGGGGTCAGCTCTGCAGAAGGCATGCGGAGGTCTTTGTTTAGACTCTCTGCACCAGACAGAGGCCCTGGAGCTCTTTCAGCTTGAGGTTCCCCAAGCAGAGATTAGTTGAGCAACAGATGGGCTCGGTCCACAGTCCCCTTTCCATCCCACACAGAGTTGGTCCACGTGCACCAGCTGCAAGACAAATGTTGGTGCTGCTCTTGCAGGTGACCTAGCTGAGGTGGTAGCCCCAGGTTATAACTTCTTAGTGGGAGACAACAAGAAGGGGAAGGGAGCCTAGAGTGACCCTGGGTTACACTGGGGAAATGAACCCTCAATGACGTCTTCACTGTGATGCAGAGCACCTCTGGGTGGAAGCAGAGGGATTCCCCTTGCTGTTTCTTCAAGGGCCAAGAACCTGGCCTTGGCGCAGGTGACAGGTTCTACAAAGCTTTTGTCTACATGGGATCTCCTGCCCTTTGCTCAAAAACATTCTCAATTCCAGAAATTATCATTCAACCTCAACTCTGCCTTCTGGCTGCTTGGAAAGAATCTGACTGTGGAAAGCAATGTCAGATTTAATTTTATGTTCTCTACCTGCATTCATTTCCTTAAATATATTTTAAGGGCTCCAGCTGGGCTGGGGAAGGTATTGAATGATACAGTGGTATTTGGTGTTCCCATTTATAAAGACCTAACATTGTAATAAACTGCATTTCTCAGATACCAGTGGGATCGTTTCAGGTGGGGGAGAGAGAGAGACCCGAGTCAGGAGACCTTTCTCCTCCACCTCGGTTCTCGTCTTGCTGCAAGAGATGAATTCAAGTAAGAGACCAGCACATATAGTGGAAATGAGATCATTTATTTATGGACTTGAGCAAGAGTTACCAGTGGGCACTAGGAGCATCGAGTGCCCCGACTGTTGGGGTTTGGGGTTTATAGCTGGCTTCTAGAGGTATCCCCCACCCCCACACACAGCTACAGAAGCTTTCTTTCTCAGTAAAAGCTCTTTGTCTTAGTGACATTGTTACAGGGGTCCCCTTTCCCAGTACAGAATCCAAGGATGACCCCTGCTTCCTCCTGCTTGTGTTGTTAGAACACCTGACAGTCTTAGTGAGGTTGTTAGGGAGGCCTCCCTTCTTAGTACAGTCTCAAGGACTCCCCTTTCTTCTGTGCCATTGTGCTTGCAATGCTCGGGCCATCTGGCAATCTTATCAAACTGAGCTCGGGACTGCTGAGTTAATTGGTGAGACATATCTTCCTTTGCTTGCAGCCTCCTTTCTTTGTTATGTTGTAATGGCAAGGGCCCTGCCTTTATTTCCTCTCTGGCCACTCCTTCCTAGCTGCTACCTAACAGGGTGAATAGTAAATCAAGGTCTGGACTTGGTCTGTTGTTCAGCCCTAACAGTTTAATCTAGTGCTTTGGACTTGATTAACTGTCCAGATTGGATATTGAGTGGATCATTGAAAATTGTTTCTCTACCCTTGTCGATTTTTCATACCGAAGGAGATGTCAGTAAATGCTTACATTTGAAGAGTAAAATGCTTACATGTGAAGAGTTAACATTTTTGAAGGGCTCCTGGGCACCCAGTACCCTGGGAGCCCGGAGGGCTTCTTCTTCTATTCCCCACCTATTCCAAGGGCAGGTCCCTCATTCTGCCTGGGCATTGGCTTTTGCACTTGTTCTCCGGTAGAATGAGGGAGCTCCACCTAGCACTCTCCCCCACCTGGACACGTACACTAACAAAATCACTGTGAGGAGGAGTAGCAGGTGCTGCAGGGCCCCATGGACAGTTTGGAGAAATGTTGCACATTTACTAGATGCCACCGTGCATAGTGATGACGGTCTGTCCCAGGAAGCAGAGCCTCGGTGCCGCTTCTCATTGCTGCCGCCAGACAGAGCACACTTCGAATTCTCCTGCCGCCTAGTAACACCCCCCTTTTCTCACGCCCCTCTCTCCCTAGCTCGCCATGAAGCACAAATGTTGAGAAACTGCCTCTCCTGGTGACCCTCTTAAGAGAAATGGAAGAGTCTATTCAGCAGTTTTTACAAGAATTCCGGACCTCCACTTGCTTCTTTTTCCCAATGATATATGGACATTTAAGGTTTTTTGTTTTCTTTTGATATGTTCATCTGTTTTTCTGTTAATATGACAAAGGTGTGGTGTTTATACATTGTGCTAAGAATGCTGCAATAGCAACAGCTTCAGTTTGTTTTTTCCACTGTGTGTATGTGAGTGTCTGTTTTCCCTGTTTTTACAGAGGGGGTGGGGTTAGTGGTAGTTTGGATATGAAATTTGGACCAAACGATACACTGAATTAGGCCTGAACTGACATCGTGTACTTTTTTCTGATATGAAGCAGGAAGACATTTTAATATGGTGACATCAGATGTTATTTTTCCTGGTTGGAAATAAAAGGCAAGCAGTGATTGGTTTCACTTAGTATCCCAGCTACTCTTAATTTGAAGGTTAAGATTCTGTATCCTGAGAAATAAATCTGTATTATGGAAAACAATTGGATTTATAAGGGGAAAGAGCAGTCTCAGATTTCGGGTTTTGTGAGGTAATCTCTGGCATGAGCCATCACTAGCATCCAGAACAACAAATCAGAATCACAGCTGGGAATCTCCTATTTGCGCTGCAGCCTGGATACATGTTTCTAGGCTGATTATTTGAAATTATCATAGGAAGGATAAAAATTGGAGATTAAAGACCTAAGAAAAAGCCTATTTAAAAACCTTTGTGCACTTATGGCTGCTTCTTTTGTCATTGTCCCAAATTCCAGTAGCTGGTATTGAAAAGAACTTGGATTTTTATCAAGAATTGATTTGTCCAGACAAAGAAAGGTCTGGGTAACTGATAATGTGAAAACATACTACATCTAAAATCTTTTTTTCTTTTCTCTTCACAAAGTTATGTCTATTTTAGAAACACCCTCACAATGTTCTTGGGAAATGGCTTTCAGTTTCCTGGTATCTGATTTTTGGAAGTTTTGATGTTGTTATTGCCGTCTGTTTATCTAATGTGATTTCAAGTGTGGGATTCTTGACCAGTCGCTTCTCCACAACTGCAGCTTGCCTGGTCTGATGGAAAACCGCAGTGGTGAAGCCTTTCCATTGCAGCCAGACTGGAAAAAAGTTGGTCCACAGGTGTGGTTTTGTATTACTCAAGATAGTACTGGGTTTAGAGTCTGGGAGTTGGCTTCTTAGAGGGATAAAGCGCTAAACATAAAAGCCGCACTTTCTCTTCTCGAACACGAGGCAAGCTGTGCATTCACACTCGTTGCCAGCCTCCCACTGCAGCGCATCGATTTTTAAGCTGCCTGAATCTCCAGGGCCCTTTGGTCTCTTCTGATCCCCGCGGCCAGTTGAGTCCACGTGTATGGTAGCCTCTTACATAGCAGTGTGAGATGACTTTCAGATTATTGATGCTGATTTAAACACCTTAAGTTCTCCTGATAGAGCATTCCCTGGGAGATAGAAAGTTTGGCAGTTGAGGGGAAATGGTCTGAGGCAGTACCTATCCAAAAAGAGAGGAGATTTGCCAGAGACAAATTTCTGAATCCTCTTAAGGAGATGATCCAGTTCTAGAAAACCACATAAAATGTGTATGGTAAACTCTGTCAGTTGACTGTAATATTTTGTGCTTTTCTTTGGGTGTCTAAAAAGTATAAAGAAACAAGAAACTCTATCTGATGAGCACCATTAGAAGCACTTATAATTCCTAAGGCAAGCCCAAAATATCACTCCAAAGAGGTTTTGTGTGCAGATCTCATTTCAGAATGCACACACACACCCAATCCTCCCAAACTGAATTCTAGCTTCAGAGGTAGATAGTTGAAATAAATAATTGAAAGGGTGACTCTAAAACCCCCCCTGACAGTAGACCAAACTCAAAGTACAATTTCTTGCCAACTATCTAACAACAGCTTTGCAGAGCTGCTTCTAAAGTAGCAGAGGATGAGGTCATAAGCATACTGTGAAATTTGAGATTCATTCTCCCTGGTTGAATTGTGATGGTTACTCTTCATAAATGTAAGTATCCCACATTTTTCCCCACTCTCTGTTTATCCTTTTAGACATAAGTCTTATTGGAAATAGCCTGGACTAGAAGAAGGCCTATCTGAATTAGCTTCTTCTTCTCTTGGTTCACTTCCCGGTGGTCGTACCTTGACCTCCCAGTGTCAAAGTCAGGCGTAGGCCTCCACCCGACAGAGAGGCCAGGGCAGCAAACCTGTCCTTCCACAGCCCCCTGGACTGCTGCACAGGAGCCCTGTGATGACACACACAAGGTTCTTTGCCATCCTTTTGTAGAAGGTGCTGCAATACAGAATATTAATAAAATCTGACCTAGAGGAAATTGCTGAAATGACACATTATTTGGGAGAAAGTCATTCGGTTGAGCTTGCGAGAAGACATTTAATTTCTGTTTCTTTCATTTCTGCACTTCACTCTGAGTTTTTGGGATACTGTGTTTTTGTGAAGGACTCCTTAAATTGTATTGACAATGCATAAAGAAAAGAAATTTCCCAGTGTTACTACTTCCTGGAATGTAGCTGTAGTCTTCTTCACTAGTATTATTAGATATCTGTGTACAGGAAGTATGCAGTTATTCAGGTTAATGTTTCATATTAAAGAATGTATTTGTAAAATGTAACAGGATCAGTAGTTAACATTTTTTTAAGCTCTGAATAAATAATGATTACGTGTTAGACTTCAAATTACAGTGAAATCTGTCTTGATACTACTTTTGTGGCTAGCAAAGGTTGTGCATTTATGTAAAAAATATTTACAGAATGCCCTTACTGAGACATTAAAGATAGATTTCTCTTTTAATTTTTAGAATTGTGACACCGCTGATGTCTGTTGTACAGTTAATTCTTCAGAAGTTCTCTAAGATGTCATATAATTTTTGTTTCTTTCAGAGACAAGTAACACCTGCTCATGATTCACTATGACAGCAAACTCAAATTTGGTCATTAAATATTTTAACTCTGTGATGAAAGTTTGTTTCTCTCAGTTATTTGTAATATCTATGAAAACACTACCAGGTAGGTGGACATCGTTGCACTTTTGATGCTAGTGGCAAGATCTCATGTGCCTACAGGAGACCAAGGAACCAGGATTACCATTATGATAAAGTTGCATAGCATTATGATAATGAGATTCTATTCAATAAAAATTAAATATTTTTTTATTCTCATGGGCCGAGCAATTAGGCCAATTAGTAGTTACCTCTGTGCTGATGACGGTAGTGGTGTGCTCAACTTAAGTACTTACAGCATCCACCCTCATTTAGCAGACTGGTTTCATGCCCTGTTGAATTGGAAAGAAGATTTGATCAAATTACATCCGTTTGTTTTTACAGAACAAATGCAGCTTGTTGCATCACCCCATTCGATTTCGAGGGAACCGACGTAGGTGGCTACTGTAGCACAGTGGCCGTCTCTGGGTGGTCATGGCTACTCCACAACTCAGTCAAAACTCGAAATAGCTCCTGGGGGGGACTGCAAGTAGAAGAGAAAACTGCAGTCTCCACTTTTCAGAGAAAAAAAAAAATGGATGGATGCTTGATCTAGATGAGGACCCAGGCTTAAGTTAATTATGTATTTAAAGGCAACAGTGCTTGTGAACTCATTATAAACCAAGAGCCTTGCAAAGGTGATCTTTTTTCTTAATATAATTTTTATTTGTTAGTAATTACGCCACAACCAAATCTCAAATTTTATGGGAGGCTTAACATGATTAGTGTTTTCAGGAAAACCACTGGTGACTTTTCCCGTTGCTCTCAGTAAGAAAACTGTTGTCATCGTGATCCATCCTCTGCCTAAACAAGCAGATTAGGGGTAAGGGCGAGATAGAAGAAGAGTAGGAAGAAAAATACCAGAAATACATTTCAAACAAATGGAAATATTTGAGTTTTATTATTGTCAAACCCCAACACTGAGCCTGTGCACCTGCACGTACCAGCTGAAAGAAATACACAAGCAGGTATCTGCAATGAAGGAAGGAGGTAGTTTATGGTAGAATTGGCCAATCCAGAGTATGGGCAAACTCCTGCACTGAAAGACTGGGCTCTCTGATGCTGTGTAGCTTTCAGAGTGTATAGGGCAAAATCACAAGACACCATGGGTTAAGGGTTCCAGGTGGTGTTAGGAGCTGGTTGGTCCAAGGTGACATAGGGTAATAAATCATTTATTTAGGTCTTGAAGATAACTCTGAGGTCAGCTCCAGAGTTCCTCTGTCTGATTTCATGGAAAAGTTGCCAGGGTGGTCCACCTTAGGGCTCAGGAGCTGAAGCATAACAGAGGTCAAGATGTTACCTTTAACATACCAGAGGTCCAGACCTTGTCCTTATAACCAAAATTCAGGTCCAGGCTATTATCTTCTGCTGCCTCAGGGGTTAAGGATTATCAAGGGGACAGGCTAGGTCTATGAGATGTGGTGAAGAGAGCTTGAGGGGGATGATTTCTAAAGCTATAGTCACAAATCGGAACCATGAGGACCCTCAGTTTCGTTATTTCCCATTGATACTGCTCTGTGTGCCTCTTCACCTGCCATGGTGAGCCATGGTGAAACTGGGCATGTGTTGCTTGTTCACAGGAGTGTGCACACAGCTGTCATCAAGGAAGGGGCTGTGACATCTTTTTGCCCCTCTGGACGTGGCTAGGCAGATGACAGTATTTGCAGAGGTTAGTAAAACTGCAAAGTACCACAGGAGGCCATTATTGAGCATGAGAAATGTAAAGACTTAAGATATGAGAAACTCCTGGCTCACAGCTCCTGGAACTCTTACAATTTCCCAAGTGTTGAGAGTGGGGAAAGGTGTCTTTTGTTATGATTAGAGGGTTAGAACTTTCAGCCCCAGCACCCCTGCACCTCCAGGAAAGGGAGAGGGTGCAGAGGTGGAGTCAATTGCTGGTGGCCAGTGATTAATCAGTCATGCCCATGTAACAAAGCCTCCATCAAAACAGAAGAGGATGAGGTTTGGAGAACTTCTGAGTTGGTGACCACGTGGAGATGCAGAGAGAGCAGTGTGCCTGGGGAGGGCGTGGAAGCACCGTGACCTTTTTTTCATAACTTGCCCTATGCACCTCTTCCATCTGGCTATTCCTGAGTTATAGCCTTTTACAATAGACTAGTGATCTAGTAATATATTTCTCCAAGTTCTGTGAGCCTTTCTAGCAAATTCATTGAACCCAAGGATGGTGTTGTATTGCTGGTGGAAATAAGATTCTTCCACAGGGTTGTGAGAAAGCATTCTGGGGACTCATGTATAAGAAGATGTGAACAATTGTGTCAAAATTTATTGAAACAAGAACAAAGGACTACCCCAGCTGCTGGATGTCCCACCCACAACCAGGTGGCTCAGCTCTGTCTCACTATGGAAGAAGTCCAGCCCCTGAGTCCTCAGACCTGCACCTGAGCCAAGACCCAAAGATGCAGAACTTCTCTGCACCTCACTTCCCCATCTATACATCCACCACCAAGGCCCAACGGCACACGTACCAACACCACTGTTGCCCTTGGGGCTGGGTGTCAACATACTCTTGGGCCCATGCTGCTAACAGGCCTTCATGACAGCTACAGAGAGAAACCACATAGACGAATGAGCCTTGGCCCTTTGTTAGCTTTGATTATATTACTTCGGGTTTGGGAAGAGGTAAGCTTTCTTTTAAACTAACCAATCTTATTAATTTTTCATGGGTTTTTCTCTGGCCCTCCTCCTATCTGGTCACTTTCTTGGGTCTTCTGGGGTTTGGTGCCCTTGTCCAATCCAGTTCTTTTCCCAGATTTTCCTAGGGTAGACTCCATTTTATGTCAGCATTTTGGTTCCAACTGTACATGCCCCATACTTTTTTGTTGTCACCTGGCTTCTGTGCATGCACCCAACAAAGGAGTTTCCCCTGCTGCTGTACCTCTTCCCCCAGTCATCCCAGCTAACAGTCCTCCAGGGATATTGGAAAGCAATTCTTTCTGCCCACTTTAGGATGAAGTCCCTTCAGTGGAGAATACAACTGTGCCTTGAGGATTCTGTGAAACTGCAGCTTCCTAGTTAGTCTGTTTTAATATCTGATTCCATTTGCTCCCTTCCTTTATTAAAAACTAACTAGCTACCTACATGAACAGTAGGAACTTCTGATTCATAGCCAGTTGGTCAGAAGTTCAAATGACAGCCTTAGCATTCTGAGTTGGAAGGGTCTGTGGGGACCTCCAATTTCTGGCCACTTGATCAGAAGCACAAGTAACCTGGGCTTGAGTTTGCCATCTGAAATGTGTGTTGGGGGGGCAATTTTGTGCAACTAAACCCTTAGCCTGTGGAATTTGAGGCCATATGTCCAATAGATAGTGTCAGAATTGAGTTGAATTCTCTGGCACTTTGCTGGTGTCTGAGGATTATTGGTTGGTGTGTGGAAACCTCTCTCCATGGTGGATGTGGGTCTGGGAACCCAATTCACCCACCCACAAGGCAAGTCTCACTTTATTTCTCTAAATGTGAAGGCACCAGCAGACCTTTTTTAACAAGATGGTGCAAAAGATGAACTTTCCTTCAGTGTACATTTTGAAAATCCAGAAACTGCATGTGAGAAGATTTTGTATGGCCAGAGCCAGCCTGACACAAAATTCATCTTCATTAATTTCCCCCACCCAACCTTTCAGCAACCACCTTTCTCCTCTCTGTACCCTTCTTCCTTTCTGACGCTTCTTAAATCCTGCTTTAGCTACTCTTCCAAGGTGTTGCCTACATGCACTGATTTACAGCTGCTTAGGGCAGTTCCTCAGTCCTGGCCGTGGCATGTCAGTCACTTTTGGAGCTTTTAGAAATGCATGCATTTTACTCCCAAATTTGCCTTCTTGGTGTCCCTGGTCATCTTGAAAAAAAAATCACCCCAGCAGTCCCCGGAGTGGGGCACATGGCTTCCCTAGATGCTTACTAGATTTAAATCATCAAATTAAAGCTGTCAAGGAAATTAAATATGATTTGCATTTATGCTCGATGACTGATAATGTAACCTTCTGCCATGACCTCCATTATATTCTCTCCCTGGAGCCTCATCTGGAGCCTCAGGATTTCCTGAGTCATTATTTCACTTTCTACCCCGTTCCTCCCCTAAAGTCTCCTGCCACATTTTCTTATTTTGGTTGATGTGTCATGTCCTGGACATCAGAGGTGTTCAGGGGGTGGGTCTGCTTTGGTGTCTGGTCCCCCTGGGCACTGTTGGACGTGAACTGGTGTGAGCAAAGCTGCCTGGCCTCCCACAGTCCCACAGGAGCCAGTGGACAGACCTGAGGGACAGTGAGTCCGCTGCTGAGGTGTGTTGTCACTGCTCTCACATTGGGTCTGTTAGACATTTTAAATGCTGTCCCCTCCGATGTTAATTTTTTTTTTCCCACTCCCAAACACCACCAAAAAAAAAGACAGGGGGGCCCCCCCCCTTTGAAAGCAGAAAAAAACCACCAAAAACCACTGGAAAACATTAGATGAGAGCCTTTGTCCTATGACGTTGCATCCCAATTGCTTTGCCACTCTGAGATGACATGGAAAGAAGAAAAATGAGCCCATGAATTCTAAACTTTACCTTGAGATCTCAAACATGGCTAGGATGATTCACAGTTTCTGAAGAAAATTCCTGTTACATGCTCTGACCCTATACGCTGGATGCTTTGTTTAACTATAATCCCCCAACCTTGGCCATTGAAGCCTGAGACCTTCTGTAAG